ACTCCCCTGCTCTCCCACACCCCACCACCCAAAATTCTCTGGCTACGCCCCTGACTAGGGAGTAGCCAGTGTAGACCAGGCTAGTCGGTACTTGTCAGAGTTCAGAAGCTAAACAGGGTCAGTCATGCTTAGTATTTGGATGGGAGACCGGCAGGGAAAATGAAGGTTGCTATGCAGAGGAACAGCGTTCCGTGCGCCTTGGTGTTTAGTCATGCCGGCCACATGACCATGGAAATGTCTTCGGACAGCGCTGGCTCTTCGGCTTTGAAACGGAGATGAGCACCGCAACCCTAGAGTCGGATTCGACTGGCTTTTGAGCAAGGGTACCTTTACCTTATGCAGAGGAAGGCAATGGCCAACCACCTCTGCTCATGTTTCACCTTGAAAGCCTCATGGTGGGTGTTGCCATAAGTCAGGTGTGGCCTAAGGGCATACTTTACCTTTAGCTAGACCACTGTGCAGTCACTTTCATATTAACTCTCTCTGTAGACAGTCAGCTGTCTTTATTGCCTTCAACGGGTCCTGGTGCCTATCTGGGCTACCCATGTCCCAATTCTTTTAGGCTAAGATGCACAGCCTGCCATTTACCTTCCTGTCATTCTTCTCTGCAAGAAGGTCAGAAACACAGAGCTGGAATTCATTTCTGTGCTCCTTTTCTGGTGAGCTTTAGCAGAGTCCTGAGTTTTGTATGGGACACTCTGGGGGCTAGGAGAAATTTGGGAGGGAGGAGATGGATAAATAATTGCTGTTCGTTCTGTCCTCTCATTCCCTGCTCATGCCTGTCAGAAGCAGGCATCCTGCTCAGCTTGCTCAGAACAAAAGCGTGTGGAGAAAGCTGTCCAAGAAAGAAAGAGAGAGTTACTTGAGTTGGTCTCAGAGGGGTGACCTTGCAAGACCTGAGATGAAGACAGAGGGGGCTGATAAGAACTGAGCCTCAAGCAGTTAGAATTCTTGCCCTGGTGTGATGTGGGGAACAGGAGTGCTCAGAGGGTGCATGGATGCACATTGGAGGAGTGGCAGTGGTGAAGCCTTTAATGCAGATGTTTGGCTGAGGGCTGCTTCACCATGATGGTTAAATGCAGGTGTTTCTCAGTGGTGGAGCATCTGCTTTGCATGAACATTGACCTAGGTTCAATCCCCAGCATATCTCTCTCTCTCCGGTGTTTTTCATATGTGCATATGTGTGTGCGTGCATGCATTTAAGTGGGACCGGGTGGGGAAAGTCATGGTGACCTCTGGTGACTGACCCCTAATAGGGGCCTGGAGGATATTCAGAGAGGTGGCTGAATGAAGCCTGCCCCTGTCCTCCTGACTGCTGGTATTTCAAGGAGGTCTCCCATCCAAGTATTTGCCAGAGTCGACCATGCTTAGCTTCCGAGAGCTGACAAGATCAGTCTAGGGCAATCCCCAGCATCTCTTGATGAAAAGGATCAGGGAGAATGTGATGTCCCCCAGATGCTTCCATGGGATCCTCAGGAATGACATAGGGGGCCAATTGGGGGTGTGCCGCAAGAAGGAGGAATTGGCAGAAAATTTAGTCTAGATCCAACCTCAACACACTGCACTGGCTCGAAGGCATGAAAGAGAGTCATTGCTAGAGAAGGAAGAAAGAATGCATGGATCAAGTTGTGACAAAAGGCATGATTAATTTTATGCTTTTATTCTAGAATTAAAGGTAATAGATATTAAAGGTAATGTATATTAAGAAGGTGGAGAAGAGTCGAGAAGGAAGTGTCGTAAACTGGGATCTGTTTCACCTGGCTTCTTCCACGTTCCCTTGAGTCAGATCTCCAGCTCAGTTTTTGCTAATGGTCCTTTATTGTGACCCAGAAAGACTGTAGATTTCCCTTCTCTCCTTGTGGGAAAAAGGGGAAATACTGCTGCTGGGGGCATGCTCGAAATATCCTCCTTGTTGCTGCTTATTGAGAAATTGCATCTGTTCCTTATTGTCTCAGTATCTCTTGATTTGCCTCGTGATGTTGCAGTTGTGGTCAGTAATCCATTCTTAACATTTAAGATAATTTGGACTTGTTCAGTCACTACTTATCTACAAGGCCGAATGTTTTTACAGCTGTTCCTATGTATTTTTTAAAAACAAACCCTGAATGTTAAGACAGGTACATGCTTCAGTGTGTCGCTCACAACAGAACAAGATCTGTTTGCCCGACCAGTGCCCAACTGTTTAGTTTTTACATCTCTGCATTTTTACTGAAATTATTCCTGCAAACCAGGTAACCACCGGTGCACTTGGCAGTCATGTTTGTGCAAGCAGCTGCTTGCTTTTGGTATTCTGCCGAGGTATGTGTGCTGGCTACATCGATTAAGCAGCTGTGAAGATGAGGTTGTTTGCTGCATCTGGCTCTTGGGTCACTGCAGCTTATTGTGCTTGTATGTGGGAGCACTGTGACTGAAAGCAGAATTAAGCAGTTGTAGGTAGGACATGATGTTACCCACACCATTTATTTCCCCTGTGGTAAATGCAGTGGAAACCTGAAGCATGACTGTGACTGCGCAATTTTAGAGTGATTTGCAGAGCAAGTCCACTTAAAACCCTACTTAGGTTTACTCAGTGGGCCCTACTCCAAAGTGTTGTTAGGATTGCACTGTTGGGCTGTTGAATGATTAAAGAATGGTTAATTAAGTGCTGTCAGTCAAATCCCAACAAAATATGGCAATCCCTCAGGGGGTTTTCAAGGCAGGAGATGAGCAGAAGTGGTTTTGTCCTTGCCTTCCTCTGCATAGCAACCCTGATCTTCCTTGGTGGTCTCCCATCCAACGACTAACTATGGCCAACCCTGCTTAGCTTCCAAGCTGTGGCAATCTCTGGCCAGTCTGGGCTGTTTAGGCTGCTAAAGGTCACTTAAGTCAATTAAATGTGTCAGGTAATCTGCGAATTAAATTTGTAGTTCAATAAACAGTAGCTTTGATGGTGAAAAAAAGCTTTCCGTCCTGCGTAAAAAAAGCAGTCTCAAAAGAGGCATTCCAATGAGACGGAAGGAAGAAAGCCTGTTCTGAGAGGATACCTGCAATTTGTAATTATATACTAAAAATAATTCATGCTTAACCTCCCCCCAAAAAACTACTGCATGGTTAACCAGGCCCAGATGTTTCATTTAATCAGAACAATATGAATCAATCAAGGTAACCAATTAATTGACACTGAAGTGTAAAGAGTAGTTTTACAAGATAAGGCAAGGTGAACAGTTTTCTTTTGCCAGCTTGCCAATAATAGCTGTCCATGTTCTACAGGAGAATAGGTGTGCTTAACACCAGACCCAGGATGGAGACCCTAGCCTATAAAGAAGTCTCTAATTGGGTCAACTGTTACTGGATGAAAACCATCACATGTATAACGGCAGGGCAGAAAGGACTCTTGTGCGTCCGAAACATGTTTTGTTGAGCCTCGATTACCAAAAACATCTAGTGGTTTAATGCTGAGAAGGCGGCAGACAGGAAAGGCCTGGCTCCATGCTAGTGGAGTCAATGGGGCTTTTGTTTCAGAAACCTAGTGGTTAAAATTGGCACAATAAGTTATCGTACAAAACCCTGTCCGCAGCTCATACTGGAGTTTCCAGCCCTCTAAGAATGAAATCTTGTAAAAGCTGTAGTAATACCGCCATGAGGCTGGCATTGAGAAACTGCGAGTGAACACAAGAGTCCCCCCCCCCCCCCCCCCAGCAAATCTATATGGTTCGCTTGCAGACTCAGGTTCAGTATTTATCTCAGAGGGTGGTTCAGTAGAGTAAGTGGATTTACATGAGAGATAGAATTGGCCCCACATGAAATATGAATTCCTGTCTGGAATGCAGGCAAGAGCGCGTGGTATTTTTTAGTAAAATGACACTATCTACCTAAGCAAGTGGGCTTTTCTTTCAGCCATCTGGAAGAACCATTGTTCAAAAACTGCTTAAGCTGTAACCCCCACTCCCGAAGAGCACACTTTCCTTCCTTTTTAAAAAAGCATTTCATCAGATGTTATTTGATGGGAGCTTTCTCTTTCACCAGCCTTTAAAAAAAATAAAAATTCCTTTCACACTTATCCTTTGACTGCTCAGAACACAATATGTCTCCTGAGGTTTCCTGCAAGACTTCTCAAAGGAAACTGAAACATTTTCCAGCATCCCCAATAAGGCCCTTTTGTTAGATTTCTTAGCTTATGTATCTAACCTCATTTTGAAAAAAATCTGCCTGGCTCTGAAATGCATGGCGAAAACATCTGAAGAAATGAGAACTTTGCTG